TTTTTTTTTTTTTGGTACCGGGGATCGAACTCAGGTCCTTGCGCTTGCAGGGCAGGCGGCGAAACCACTGAGCTAAATCCCTGGCCCTAGCCCTATGTTTTTTAAGACAAGGTCTCACTATGTTGCTCAGGCTGGCCTCAAACCCTTGGGTTCAAGTGATCCTCCTGCCTCTACCTCCTGAGCAGTTGGGACTGCAACTATGCATCTCCATGTCCTGCTGGATGATGAGAGTTTTAAAAGACAACAGAAAAGGGAAAAAGGGAAGTGTTCAAAATAAATTGTGGTCCAATGATATTTAGCTGCTAGTCTTTGCATGTTTTATGCCTGATATTTCCTTCAATAATAACCTGATTTTCTTGAGGTGTTGCTGTTAACCTGATTATAGATTATCTGTGATTAGCTTTCTCAGCCCCAGGACCAATGCATAATATCTCAAAATTTTCCTAACGATGGATTTTGGTTCATTATTATTATACTATATCACCTACAAAAATGTTTCTATTCCTCCAGTTGATTGATACCATATAAAGTGACACATATTTAACAAAACCAAAATGAGTTTATTGTCATAGTTTTCATAATCTCTGGACGATCTATTTGTTGCAGTAAAGAAACATTTATTTGAAGTTTAGTATTTCTTTCAGTTTTTGTTTCTTTTTAAAATTTGCTTATTTGTTTTTTGAGACAGGATCCTCTTGCCTCAGCCTCCCAAGTGCTGAGATTACAGGCATGTGGCACCACACCCGGTTAGTTGGTCCTATTATGTAGTTAATAGGAGGAAAGGTTTGGACTCGGGTAGTAGGATTTTTGGTGATTTTTTTTTTCCCCTTTGTATTACTTTTAATGATCAAGTATCAGTTTTACAAAATCTCTGTAAAGACAGTGACTATTCTTGGGACGAAGTCTCCTGGGGTCTGTGGCTCCAGAGTGGTCTTTCCCACTGCCGTTTTTCTCTATTGTCGGCACTTTGGTGTTCTCCACCTGGACTTATTAGTGATCAGGATGAGAGGCAGGCTTGCTGAGTCACCACTAGCCACAGACAAGGCAGGCCTTGCACAAGTGTGGTGCACAGGGCACCCTGTGTTCTTGAGGGTGTGTGGAGGGCAGCCTAGGCCTGCTGCAGGCTCCGGGAACTGTCGGGTGGGACTGACGGCTGGCTCTGATGATGCCTCTGTTCTGTACAGGATGTGACCCCAGAAAACTTCCTTGCAGTGCTGAGAGGTGACAAAGAAGCAGTGAAGGGCAAAGGGTCTGGAAAAGTCCTGAAGAGGTAACATCGGGGAGGGAAGCTTGGCACAGTATTTCAACTCCTTGCTTCTTCTGTTCACCTGAGAGAAATCTCAGCGGGGGCATCACACTTGCCTAGGATGACTAGGGGGTGTCCGTTGCGGGGTGATGGTTCCGTGGCTTCTCTTGACAGCCCGTTTCTGTGCTGAACTAACCCTATCATCTAGGGTCCTCCGCTTGTTTTTCTTGCCTTTCTTCTTTTTAGGGACAGTACTAGGGATTGAACCTAGAGATTTTGCATGGAATTACATGTCCAGCCCTTTCTCCATTTTTTATTTTGAGACAGGGTCTCCTTAAGTTTAGTTTTTTTGTTTTGTTTTGTTTTGGTACCGGGGATCGAACTTGGGTCCTTGGACTTTTGAGGCAGGCGGCAGATGGTCTCCTTAAGTTACCCAGACCGGATCTGAACTCTCCATCCTCCTTCCTCTGCCTCCCTTGGTCATCCCAGAGTACTTGTGCAATGCTACCACACCTGCCTTTCCCTCGCTATTCTTAATAAATGTTTCCTGTCGCTTAAGCCACTATTCTTCGTTGCCTGTGGAGTGCTGGTCTGCCCCATGACCAAGGAAGCTCGCTGAGGCACGTGTGAGTCCCTGCAGGGGTCAGGCTGCAGGCCTCCCCTTGCCACCCACCTGGTGCCCACCTGCGCTCTGGTCGCAGGTCAGCCCCATGGCAACGACTGACATTGGCAATGGGGAAAGCCAACCCAGTGTTTGCCCCTTTGGTTGTGAACCAGAGAGTCTCACTGCTTCCTGTTTGCTTAGGTAGCATTTTCACAAGGAGCCTGAGACTGAATTTCTTATAAGCTAAAAGGGAGGCCTGGGCATGAGCTGAGCTTACTGAGTTAGAGCAGAGAGGGACATCTGTGTGGGGCATGCATGGGACCTGAGTGTGCTCCCTGTAGTCCCTGCAGCCTGAAGCCGAGCCCTCCTGCCGGGGCCCTGGGGCGCAGAGGAGAGGAACGGGGCAGGGCTGCTTGGCTGGGTGTCCTGCCTCCTTGCTCACTGTGGGTGACCTGGCTGGACAGTGTGGCTGCCTGGGATGAAGCCCAATTTCCAAGGACCCCCTGTGACCTACTGTCCAGAACCTACCAGGCTGCTGGCCAGCGGTCTCCACCAGCTTTCATACAACTTCGGGGCTCTAGGCTGGGGCTGGTGGTACAGAATAGCCCTCGGGGACAGAGCGAGGTGGCCACGCCCAGGGCCCCACGTTCCTCCCCGACCCTGGTTGGGTAACCACAGTTCTCAAACTTCTTAACTTTTTGATGAGGGTAGCCTTGCAGAGAAATGGAAATAGAAGCGGGAAGCTGTCACCCTCTGGTTCTCATGCCCCCTTTTCTCTCTCGGCAGTGGCCCCCAAGATCATGTGTTCATTTATTTCACCGACCATGGAGCACCTGGAATACTGGCTTTTCCTAATGATGATGTGAGTTTTATTTTGAACCGTGTGTGTGTGTGTGTGTGTGTGTGTGTGTGTGTGTGTATGCATGCAGGTACACGCTGGGAATTGAACCCAAGGCTTTTCACATGCTAGGTCAGCACTCTACTGCTGACCTATACCCCTGGCCATTTTTCTTACCATTTTAAAGACAAACGTGGAAAACAGCCGGAGATTTAGCTCAGTGGTGCCGCTGCCTGCCTTGCAAGTGCAAGGTCCCGAGTTTGATCCCCGGTACCAAAAAAAAAGACCTAAAACATGGAGAATAGAAAACAAAGCCTGTGTGCTGAAATTAAACCTGTGGTGTGCGTTTTCTAATGTTCCTCCATAGTTTCGTGCACATGGCAGGTGTCTGGGGGGTCATAGCAACTTAAGTCTCATCCAGGACATCTGCTCCGCCTGGTGTCCCTACATCACAGCGTCTCAGGCCGGGTGTGTCACCCTAGACACAACATGCAGAGCTATCGATGGAGAAGCGCATTTTCTTTCCTTCTTAAATATGTGAAAGGACCTTGGAGCTGACAGTCTGGGGATTTTACTGATCACCGTGGTTACTTGTAAGGATTGGTGGAAAAGAATTAACCAGTGTCTGTTGATGGCCTAGTCGGCTGGTGGTTTGTCTGGGTGTGTGGTTCTGAACATTGATGTTCTTTCCTTCCAGCTCCATGCCAAGGACCTGAACAGGACCATCCATTATATGCACAAGCACCACATGTACCAGAAGGTAACAGCAGCCATTGGGCCACCTTGGGGGAGGCACGTGAGGTGGGCAGTGGGAGCAGAGTCCCAGTCATACCCCGTGACCAGCCCTCGGGCTGGCTGCCTGGATTTCCCTTCCAAGTGGCGCTGACCCATGATGTCCTGGGATTAATGTTTTGTGATTCTAGGGCCTTAGCTATTTGATCAGAATCATAGAGAGCTTGTTAACCAGAGTGGGGCTCACCCCCAGGGTTGGGGAAGGAGCTACCACGGACAGGTTTGAGGATCACACTATGGATGGCTGTTCCTAAGATTGTCCTGGTTTGGGGCAGTTGGGGAGGACTATCCCCGACACTATCCTTACTCTATTTCTACTTTGGTCCTCTTGCCTCTCTGGAACCCTTTCTAAAAACGATGGAGGGTAGGATGTCCAAAACGGTAAGGCAGAAAGATGGCCTTTGGAACCTCTTCCTATATGGGGTGGTGCAGCTGTTTCCCTTAGCATCAGATGGCGTCATGTTCCCTGCCTTGTGTCAACTGGTAGATCATTTTACCCAGCTAGCAGTGAATGCATATGACTCCTTGTCCAGTGGCTTCCGTAGCTCCTGGCAGCAGCCTCTTTAGTTTCCCTAAAGCTGAAGTGAAAGACTCCAGCACGGATGGCAGGAGTGGCAGACCCCATAGCAGTTGCCGGGCTGGGTGGGGCTCACCTGTCTGTCTGCCTGTCAGATGGTGTTCTACATTGAAGCCTGTGAGTCTGGCTCCATGATGAATCACCTGCCCCAGGACATCAACGGTAGGTGAGGGATGGGGGCAGTCAGTCATCGTCAGACACTGCTGATGGGAAGGAAGCAAGTGCGCCCCAGAGCAGGGCCTTGCAGGCAGCCTAGTGTGCACTCTGTGTTGTGGTAGCTCTGCCTTCTGCTGCTTCTCCAGGATTAGTAGTCAGGGAAGGAAGACTCTGGAGTGAGCTTCACTGTGCATTTCCAGGTTCTAGCAAAGTACTTACATCCAAAACCACATGGGCTGTGGAACAGCATGGTCCTTTTGAAGTGTTGGTCATTGGCCATCTGGTCTCACCCAGGCAGGTGATGTCAGTTGACCTCAGTTGTCCCCATCTGTAAAATGGGGATAAAGAGACAGCGGTAGTGCCAGGAGCGGAGAATGGTGTCCAGCACAACTCAGAGTCCATGGTTCCTGGGCCTAACGGAGTAAACAGATAGAGTAACTGGCAGCTGTTGTAAAGCTTTAGTCCTACTGAGCAGTTACAAAATTATATTAAATTAAAAACATGTTTTTTGGTGTTACTGGGGATTGGACCCTGGACCCAGAATCTCGCCCACACTAGGCAAGCGTTCTGCCTCTGAACTACATCATCAGCCTACATCTGAATGTTTATTTATTGTTAATCCTCTCTTTCTCTGGAAACCAAATTAGGCCCACCTTTGACCTTCGAACCATTAAAATTTGTCAGCATTCTTCTAAAACAGCAGGATGTTTAAGCATGAACATTTGCTGCCTTTTTTTTTTTTTTTTGCAGTGCTGGGAGTGGAACCCAGGGCCTCATGCATGCTAGGCAAGCTCTCTACCACTGAGCTACATCCCTTCATCCTTTCACTTACTTATTGCTGTGCACAGACTGTCACTGGGTTCTCTTTTCTTCCACATCTAACTTCAGACAGTTACTGTGGTGTGTGAAGGCTGTTCACAGTTGTATCCACCCGTCCCCTGTCCCTGTCCGGTGCTGTGAAGGTGGCAGGCAGGGTGCAAGCTCACCAGGGGGGAAGGAAGGACCCAGCTTCCTGTGTAGTCCCTGGCGGGGCACAGAGGAGTGTGATTCAAAGATCCCTTTGATTCCTTGCAGTTTATGCAACTACTGCCGCCAACCCCAGCGAGTCATCCTATGCCTGCTACTATGACGAGCAGAGGTCCACGTACCTGGGTGACTGGTACAGCGTCAACTGGATGGAAGACTCTGATATGGTGAGCCCTTGGGGACCTGCCAGCCACCTGCAGTTGAACAGTTAGGCTTGGTGCCCGCAAGCCCTCACTTTCCCTTTTGCAGGAGGATCTGAGCAAGGAGACGCTCCACAAGCAGTACCAGCTGGTGAAGTCCCACACCAACACCAGTCACGTCATGCAGTACGGGAACAAGGTGAGGGGCCTCCTGTGCCTTCCCTGCTGCTCACCTGGAACCTTTGTCTCTTGGTGAAGCAAAATGGATCCAGGTGAGGCATGGCCACTCCATCCTGGGTACCCTCTGAGGCTCAGGACCAGACCTCCCTAGCTTCAGACATGCAGACGTCTGGCAAATGCTATGACTGCTCTGAGCCTGACTGTGAGTGATGTGGCCTTAGCAATGCCTCTGGGGAAGACCATAGTGTGTGCACACAGGGCCAAGACAGTGGCCTGGCACACTTGGTACTGCGTTCCACAGTAGCTACCACCATCTGAGAGCTTGCTGCTGGGAGCTGAGCCTTCTAGGAAAGGATAGGGTAAAGAAAGTCCAGCTCCTCAGCCCCTTCCCTGCAGAGTAGGGGCTGTGAGCCTGTGGGATGCAGGAAGTGCGCCCAGGACACTGGGGCCCGTGGGCGTGGGCAAGAACAGGCCAGGGGAAGGAAGCACAGGGCAGGTGTTGTTGCCCTGGTCCTGTGGCTCCTGCCTTGGGATTTTCTTTTTCTTACAGCACCCTCAGCATTGGCTGTATTTGGAGGCAGATCATTTCCAAATTTTGTGTTTGTGTATATTTGTGTGTTTTGAGTTTTAGTTTTAGAACTGTTATTAGAGGATTACTGCTTGGTTGGGGGACAGGAATGCTGCAGCCTTTCTCTCCCAGTGGCCGGAGAGTCTGCTAACCTGTGAGGCCAGGGAGCCTGAAGCTGAGTGTCAGTCTGGCCGTTCTATGCCCTGGCTCTGCCATTTGTACGGGACCCAGACCTTAGCTCCACCCTGGACAAGTGCTCTGCACCTCTGGCTGCTGGCCCTTAGGGTCAGGCAGGGGAGCAGGGTGCTGAGCTCAGTCCAGGGTTGCCAGGGATCCAAACAGCTCTGGCCCCAGCCCCACTTCCTGTGGTTCAATGGTTGTCTTCATCTGTGAAAGTACAGCTGTCTTGAGGCATTTTTGAAGTTTCTCATTGGTAGATCTCAGGTGCCCAAATGTGTCACCTTGTCTACTGCTGGGGGCTGACCTCGTGTTTTTAGGCTGTGACTGAGAGCCTTCAATGCTCCTAAACTACAGGAGTCTCCCGCAGAGGAGATGGACGCAGGGGATGTTCCTCATGTCTGGTCCTCCCATCTGACCCGATTTTTCTCTCTCTTTCCAGTCTATCTCTGCCATGAAAGTGATACAGTTTCAAGGAGTGAAGCACAAAGCCAGTGCCCCGATCTCTCTGCCTCCCGTCACACACCTTGACCTCACTCCGAGCCCAGAAGTGCCCCTGGAGATCATGAAAAGGAAACTGATGAGCACCAATGACTGGAAGAAGTCCCAGACTCTCATCAAGCAGATCCAGCAACATCTGGATGTAAGTAGTGCTCACAGAGACCCTTCACAGGGCCGTGCCCAGCCCAGGTGGGCAGTGTGTGTGAGCTTGGGCCCTGCCTGCTGCTGACTGGTACCCAGTGTTCCTCAGAGCCAGCCGGCAGAGCTGGTCAGCCCTCCTCCTGCACATGGGTGTAGCTGGGCAAGGCAACCAGCCTCTGCGCTGTGTGAGGAGGAGAAAGCATGCTGGGCAGAGGTGCCTCCATCCTCCATTAGGAAATGAGCTCGGGCCTCTAGGGTGTGAGGAGCAAAGGATTGAGGGGCCTCTCCTGAATCCTGCTTTGGCCGTGGCTGTAGAAGACATTGTTTCTTGAAGACATTTGTTGCTAAGAAGACATTTTTGTTTTGATGTTTATTGAGTTGTTAGCTAATCGGTTTGTAAAAGACGTCATCCACAAAAAATTTTTGCTGTGTCAAACAACCATGGTCATAGCCTGAAGCTCCTCCCAGATGCATGGGCTGCCCTCACGGCTGAGGGTCTCCACAGTAGCTCATCTGTGGGTTCAACACTGACAGATTTATTTTTCAGATGATATTTGGGCCCTCACTGAGTGCCTGGCAAAAGGGTTGCCTGTTCCTTCCAGCAAACAGATCTGTGTTAACACTTGTTCCACTGTCAGCACAGCAGGGTGATGAATGCACTGACATCTGGCCTGGATTTTCTAGGAAGGATAAAAACAAAAAACTAAAAACGTATATGTTTTAAATGCATTTATGCAATTGGTCTCCAAAAGAGAGTCCCTTAAATGTGACACCGTGTGTACCCACGACATGTTTATATTTTTTTATTTTTATTTTTTAAGAGGAGGAGAGTCTTGGTGTATATTGCAGGCTGGACTTTGACCCATTTAGTAGCCCAGCCCAGCCTTGAACTTACAGCGATCCTCCTGCTTCACCCTCCCAAGTGCTGAGATGGTGGACATGTGCCACCATACCCAGTTTAGGACGTGTTTTTAGTTGGTGTAAATAGAGTTTGACATAGCAGTACTCCTGCTTTTTAGTTTTGGGTCTCTTTACACTCTAATTATTGATCCCAAAGAGCTGTTGTTTTTGGTGGGCTATGTCTGTTGACACTGAACCGTGTTTGAAATTAAAATGACCCAGAAGGGCACTTTATCCTTGTCCTTTTGATAATTCTTAAAAACTGAACCAGAGTTTCTTGTGTTTGCTTGGACAACTGTGTAAATCATACAGGTTTTCTCTGGTATCTGCCGCAGATTTTAAAATTGTTTCCAAGCCTGGGGGCTTCTTAGCAGATTCAACTTTTCCTGGCAACTCTTACATCACTACATTCTTGTGCAATTAAAGAATTTCAGTAAGAAATGAAAACTGAGATGAAAAAAACCCACTGAACTCATTCTGAAGTGATCACAAGAAGCCCATTTGGTGTTCATGTAGTTAATAACCGTTTTCCACAGCTGAGACTCTTCCGAGGAGGGCGGGGTTGCTTGCCATGTTTGCAAATCTGTCAGGCCTGGTGTGATGGGAGGCAGCTGGATTCTCCTGCCCGCGCCTGTGTTTACTTTGCGGGGCTCTGATGATCGCCTGAAGCATCAGAAGGGAATCCAGCCTTGCTCAGATGTAGAGGTGAGGAAGGAAGGCTTTGGAGGCTGGAGGAGCTCTCGGGGCCTGTGTGGTTCTGGGCCACGTGTGTGTCTGCAGTTCAGACCTGACAGACAGACTGCCGAGAGGGGTGAGACAGAGGCTTGGTTGTGCAGTGAGGTGAGTGTGGAGCAGTGTCCTGGTTAGGAGGCTGTTTTTCACCTGGGAGGAAAACAAAGCCCCTTTGTGCCCTCTGCCTAACCATTGATGGTTTCCTGAACCAACCAGCTGAGGGGCCAGGCACATGCGGTGCCTTTCCGGGGATGGCGGTCTGTCCCGGGCTGAGTTCTACAGCTTGCTTCCGGTATTAGCTGTAAACGTTTCCACTGTGCTAGGAGACCCTAGAAGGCAAGGTGTCACAGCTGTCACAGACGCCTTGCACACACTTTTGCCTTCTTCAGAACACATCTCTTGGCATCTCCTAATCCCCTGGGGCAGTGTGAAGACATGTCTTTAAACATGCTTATGAGCGCCTCGGAAGCTGCACCCAGTGTGCCACATCTTGAAAAGCTGTTTCTTCGCAGGTTCGGCACCTCATTGAGAAGTCGGTGCACAAGATCATCTTCTTGCTGGCAGGGTCCGAGGCTGTGACAGACAGGCTTCTGTCTGAGAGAGCCCCTCTCACGGAGCACGACTGTTACGAGGGGGCTGTGACGCACTTCCGCACGCACTGCTTCAACTGGCACTCGTCCAGGGTGAGGGGGCACGTTCCCACACCGGAACCCCAAGGCTGACCTCATACTGCCTGCCACAGGTCACCTCTGGAGGTTCCATCGGGCTGTGGACATAGTGGGCTCATTTCAGGGGTCTTAGCTGCAGATGAAAGGTAACGACTCACTCCAGAGCAGTGGGCAGAGAGTTCCCCAGAGTCATGGATAAGAACTGCCATTAACAGTGGCTTTGATTACTTCGCTCCATGCGGCTGCAGTCCCTGCCAGGCCCATCCATCTCCCATGAGCCACATGTGTGTCCCCCCTGCTGGGTCCCCTGTGAGCCCTCACCACGACGTATAGTTGAAGTCAATGGAGGAGGAGGAGGGAGAATGAAGTTAGCGCAGAATGTAGAAAGTCAGAGTTGACCAGTGTCTTAAAAAGCCTGGTGCCCATTTCTGTGGGATGCTTGGATCTTTCTAGAGGAAGGTTTGTAAACCATGGCCTGCAGATCAAACCCTGTCCAAACTCTCTTCTTCCCTGTGCCTGTTTTTGTATATCAGGTTTCAATGGGACACAGCCACGCTCTGCCTGGGGCCTGCTGTCGGGGGCCGTTTTCAGACAGACAGCTGTGACAGAGCACACAGCTGCAGTGACCGCACTTCACCCCTGGTCTTGCTTTCCTGCCCTCTAGAATTATTTAAAATGAATCTTCTTCCTCGTGGGTGTTCCCAGCTCCCCTGAAGTTCTCTTAAGATAAACATTTCTGGTTATTTCAGTCCTACCCAGTGTGGTCCAGCTCAGGGGTTTCCAGAATGAAGTCAGAGTTCTGGGAGAGGTTGGAAGTTCAGACTGAGACATGAGAGCAGGCTGGCTATGTGCAGCCTCTTGGCATTTGTTCATCTTTCTCGGGAGAGGATCTGTAAATATCACCAGATTATCAGAAGGAAGATGGGACCCATGAGCCCCCAGCTGAGATGTTTTGTCCCTGTGACTGCAGAAGGGGAGCTATCCTAAGCTTAGGAGTTGACTGCAGGGCGAGCTGAGATGTTGGGTTCTCCTTTGTTTTCTTCCAGTACGAATATGCCCTGAGACACCTGTATGTCCTGGTCAACCTGTGCGAGGAGAAGTATCCGATCGACAGGTAAAGCAGCACTAACCTTTGAACAGTTGTTGTCTTTCTGAGAATAGAAGAGAGCATGCTGCTGTCCTTTGTGCAAGTGAGACACTGGCCAGCAGGATGCAGGACAGCTGAATTCTCAGTGACACTGTTGGGCAGATCTGTCCCCAGTGACTTCTCCACACGGTATTGTGTTTGTCTTCCTTCTCACCACGTTCTCCTCCCTGTCTCCAACAGGATAAAGTCGTCCATGGACAAGGTGTGCCTCGGTTACTACTGAACAGGTGCCTTCTCGATGCTTCTCCAAGTGTGACACTATCCCTTAAAATGTGCTACCCAGAGGCTGCAGAGGTGGGGCCAGCAGGAAGCCTGTCTGCTTGGGCCCACGGGGGAATGCAGTCAGGCTGCCCGGCCTAACCCCACACCTCTTCCACAAGACCCTTGGCCTCCTTTGCTGCCCAGTCTACAGGATGCATGTGAAGCTCTGAAGAAGCCACAGTTGGGCGGACAAAGCTCTGTTGAGAAAGGCCTGTTTGCTTCTTAAGAGGTTTTTTTGCCCATTAGTTTTCAAGAGCAAGAGGGTCACTGGGCTTCTGTAGCCAGTGAAAGAATCTTTGCTGTGAGAAATTTGAAGCTGAAACCTCTTTGAAGACTTCAGATGACTTTATTAAAAGGGCTGTAAGCCCCCAAATTGAAAATTATTTTTAGAAAATATTATAACTTTGATTTTGTATTTTATTCTGCAATAATGAACAAGTCTTAAGAAAATAAAGATGTATAATTGGGATCCAGTATTCATTTCTGGTCCCTGACTGTCATTTGTGCTCCTGACCTGTGTCTCCTGACCTTCCCAGCCTCATGCTTCTCCCTCCTTCTCTTGGCATCTACAGCTTTGCACCCTGTGGACTTTCCAGCCCCCAAGCGCTTACCTTTGCTGATCCTCTTGCCCTAGAGCGCCTTTCCCTGTATCAGCACAGACTCTTGGCTGGTCTTACAGTGCCCCTCATCCCTCGAAGCTGCCCTGTCCCCAGTCGGCACATGGGCCACCTCCGTGTTCTACAGTTGCACATCTCTGACCAAAAGGTCGAGCCAGGCTGACCACATGCAGGAGCTCAGCTTGTCCCTTTTCCCTGGGTCAGTGCCCAGGTCCTGCAGTGGGTTTGTTAAAGATCTAAAGGCCACGCTATCTGTAGCCAGTGCAATACTGTGCAGCAACAAAAAGGAATGAGGTGCGTATGCTTGCTATAGCATTGAGCCAATTGAAAGAAGCCAACAACTGAGACTACATATTATTGGTTCTGTTTATATGAAATATCCAGAGTATGGAAATCTGTAGAGACAGGGTTGTTCAGTGGGTCCAGAGACCAGGGGCAGAGGGAACTGCGGAGTGAACTGCTGAGGGGTATCAGTTTCTTTTGAGGGCGATGAAAATGTTATAAAACTAGAGATGGTTGTACAACTGTGAATACACAGTCAACCCTTAAACAATACATATTTGAACTCCCCAGGCCTGTTTATACATAGATTTGTTTTTGGAGATTTGAGAGAATTTGAAAAAATGGATGACTCATGTAGCCTAGAAATATAAAAAAATTAAGAAGATGCTATGGATGCATAAAAATATGTATACTTTGTCATTACTATAAAATATATACAAATCTACTGTAAAAAATTAAAATTTATCAAAACACCAACACAAGACCACACATCTTGCCATTTACAGCTGAGAGAAATGTAAACATAGAAGTGTGATATGAAATCATAGCTGGATAAAGCTAACCGTGGTCCATACTGAACTGACAATTGTGCAGCCACCTCATGTTCCTGTTGGGGTGAGTTCAAGAGTGTGATATCCACTTAAAATGTCATTTCCAAATGAGTTTATCTCTCTGGTAAATTGTGGGTCACAGTAAAGAGTGATCTTTGTTCTTGTGTATTTTTCAATGGATTTAATACATATAAAATGTGTAGACAGCAGGAAAGCTGATCAACAGCAGGCTCTTGTCCTTTCTTATCTTTAAACTCCTGCTTCATCAGGGATAAACATGGCACCCACCACCCACCATCCATGTCATTAGGTGTTTGATTTCAGTCTACATAAGTGGCAGTATCAGAATGGTTCCTCATTGGGGAACAATTTTTTCAAGTGCAGTACGGCTCTTATGTACAATTATCTTTTGAGTAATTGCCTTTATTCTTACAGATTCATTTCCAAAATTCCTTAAGTCAGCTCCTTCCCTCCTAAAATATAGTTGGATTATTTTGTAGCAGACTGCATTGGAATTCTGGAATTCTCTAACTTCTTAAGGGCCATTTTTAAAATTGTACACAATAAGGCTCACTCTTTAGGCTGTAAAGTTCTGTTTTGGTAAATGCTTAATGTCAAATATCCACCATGATATTTTGATGCAGAGTAGTTTCACTGTCCTAAAAGTCTTCTCTGTTTCAGCTTCCCTTCCCTTCACCCTCAGCCCCTGGGCAACTACTGATCTGTCCCCAAAGGCCTGTGTGTTAGACACTTGGTCCCCAGCTTGGTGGTACTAGGAGATGGTGGAACCTTTAAGAGGTGGAGCCTAGTGGGAGGTCATAGGTCATTGGGGGAGTATCCTCAAAAGGGATAATGGGATAATGCAGGGGGCCATAATGTGAATGGGTTTCTTCTACCCACTTTCCTGCCATGACTGCTGGTGCCACCACCGGCCCAGAGCAATGGAGCCAATTAGAGACAGACAGACCTTTGAAACTGTGAGGCAAAGGGGCCGGGGATTTAGCTCAGTGGTTCCAACGCCTGCCTCACAAGTCCAAGGTCTGGAGTTTGATCCCTCGTACCAAAAAGAACCCTGTGAGCCAAAATAAAGTTTTCCTCTTTATGGTTTTATTTTATTTTACTATTATTGTTTTGTTTTTCTGAGACAAGATCTCTGTAGTCTAAGCAGGCCTTGAACTCACAATCCTCCTGCCTTAGCTTCCCGAATGCTAGGATTGTAAGTGTGCACCACCACCTACAGCTCAGGTTTTCCTTGTTATAAGTTGATTATCACAGGTATTTTGTTTGGTAATGGAAAGATGATAACATATACGTAGTATTACATTACTTTCATAATTTACAATTCCTTAAAGAGACGTCAAATTGAGCATCTTCCAGGGCTGAGTATCTAGCTCAGTGGTGACACCACCTGCCTCGAAAGCGCAAGGTCCTGAGTTCAACCCCAGGCACCAAAAAAAAAAAAAAAAAGAAAAAAAAATTGAGCATCTTCCCATATGCTTATTTGCCATTTGTATATCTTCTTTGGTGAGGAATCTGTTCAGATATTTTTCCCATTTTAAAATTAAGTTGTTTTCTCAATTGTTAAAATCAAGAGTTCTTTGTGTATTTTGCATATAAATCCTTTATCCTATATATTTTACAAATACTGTACTTTCAGTTCATGGTTTGTCTCTACATTTTCTTAACAGTCTCTTTTGCACACAGGTATTTTTAATATTAATAAAGCCAAATTTATCTTTTTCTTCCATAGGCCATGCTTTTGGTAGCCTTCACTTATTAAAAAATGTTTTATTTTTCCATCTTTTCCTATTCCAGCATTTTCGTTTGTTTAGTCTGTGACCCTCCTACCCTTGACTTCGTGTTTGAAGGGATTCTTTGCTTTCTGATTTCCCCTCCTGTTGCGAGTGTTTGATGTTATACATCCCCGGAGGCCTATGTGTTAAAGCCCTTGTCCCCAGCATGGTCGTCTGGGAGGTGGTAGAACCTTTAGGAGCTGGGGCCATGTGGAAGGTCTTATGCCATGGGGACCTTCCTTGTCACTTCGGTCCACTCTGATGTGCTGGCCCAGGCCCAAAGCAATGGGTCATGACAGAAACCTCTAAAACTGTGAGCCAAAACTAAACCCTTTCTCTCTAGAAGTTGAGAATCTCCTGTATTTGCGGTAGTGAGTGACAGAAAGCTAACACACCTGCTGTCTCATTTCTGAGCTTTTCTAGTTCTGACTTTGGTTGTTCTCCCATGCCTTTTATCATTTTCTCCATGTTTCTGAGCTCTTTTTGGAATAATGAAGTACACTGTGTTAGTTGTTTGGGGGGGGGCATATATCCCCAGGGAACTGGTCACCGCATTTCACCTATGAGAAGTCAGCCAGCAGAGGGTAGCTGCAGGCTGTCACAGGCAATGGTCACCAGGCTGGCCGGGAGGTCTGGGAGTGGCCTTGCTGTGGGCCATCAGACAGGTAAGGACCTCCTGGGGGCAGAAACCTTCATCTCTGTGACCCTGGGTCCTGCCTTTCTGGAACACTCGACCCTTACCAGGACTAGGCTTTGCCCCTGCTACATCTGTGCCTGTACCATGACTTGGGTTCCTATAGGCACCTCACAGCCTCACACCCAAAGCTGATGGGACCTGAGCCCTTGCAAACCTGTGGTCCTGTCTCAGCTGGTGGCATGGCAGCCATGCCAGAGCTCTGGATGTTTTCTAGGGTCCTTCCTCTCCTTCACAGGCCCCCCACCCTAGTCACCCACCATGCATTGCTCAATTTACATCCTCACCATTTCCCAAAGATAACTCTCTTCTTGTAATCAGGTAGCTTCTTTCTAAAGAGTGGCTCGCCAACTAAAAGCTACTGGGTTCTGGATTGCTCGCTTCTCCTTTTCGAGTTGGATTCCAGGTACTTCTTGCCTCTAACAAAGAATTGAATGAAACAAGCAAAAAGCAGTGGCAAAGTTTATTCAAGAAAGTAAAAGTGAAGAGTGGGTGAGAAACTGGCTCTGCCGAGTGAGCTTGGGCCAAATAAATAGAAATAGAGGGTAAGGACAAAGATAAAGTACATGCTTCATCTGGGAAACACAGGGTGGCTATCATGGAAAGGCATGATAGCACTGGCTCTTCATGGCTACCTTTATTTTATATTGTCCAAATCTTGAGGAATGTGGGACCAAAATGACTCCATTTTGGAGCCGTCTCCTTTGTTCTCTCAAATTTGTGCTTAAACTAGGAATTCACCACTTGAAATTCCTGAGTTTATTACCCAACCACCTGTGTACCCGGGGAGAGAGCGTTCCAGGCACACTATCTGTAGGATAAGCAGTTAATGAGCTGACTGTCCACACAAGATAGATGCGGCCATTAGTGGGTCTGCTAACGATCAGTATGCAACAACCGGCCGTTGATCTTTGCCCCTTTTCTCCCTCACAAAAACCAATACGTAATCCCCTTTGACCCCCAAAGCCTAGCCAACCAAAACCCTACACTTCATATGTATTGAGTATTAACCAATCACCTGGCTACTAATAACCAAAGCTTGTTGTATTCTCAATAAAAACCCTGCTAGTTAGGGACTCAGGGCTCTCAATCTCGATCCGCTGTGTCGGTGACAGTTGAGAGTCCCTGCTTAAGCTTGAATAAACGACCCTCGTGTGCTTACATCGGAAACGGCCTCCTGGTGGTCTCTGGGACTTCACAATCTGGGCACAACAAGGAAACCCATGAAGACTTCTACATCCAGGTCCTGAGAGGCCGTGTAAGATCCCACATCTCAGGCTGATGTCAGATCTAGGCCATCCTATTGGAAACTTGCTCAGTTCTCACGAGAAGTCTACGTACAGAGTTTAGGGGACTGTTCTGCATATGTGTCTGGGATCTTGTAGTTCACAGGTCAAGCCTACTTCCCCACCCAGCTTTTTTTTTTTTTTTTTTTTGCGGTACGGTGATTGAACTCAGGACCTTGTGCTTGCCTGTCAGGCGCATTGCCACTGAGCTACACCCCCAGCCATCCCAGCCTGTGTTTGCCATGCCCTAATCGCCTAACTTGCTCTCTGTGCCCCTGCACACGCCCAGATATCGCCTCCTGTCCCCTGGATGCCACAGCGCGATTCAGTGGCCCCCACCATTCTCCAGCCTGGGCCCTCTATCCAGTGCCACGGGAGTGGAGCATTCCCAGGCTCCTGTGCTGCCACTCAGGGTCAATCCAGCTTCCTAATGCAGCCTCATCTCCTGCGTCTTGCCTCAGGTTTTGCCTTAAAATGGGCAGTTCTCCTAACAGTTCATTATTCTGTGATTTTCACTTGTTTTTCCTCTTCCTTCTCAAAAAATACCAAAGAGGCTGAAGTTTGAGTGGATTTACAAGCTAGCAGGACAGCCAGCCATAGTTCTACAGGTGTTGGAGGAAACGAGATCCCTGGGTCAGAGGCAAGGGACTTCACTGCCCATGGCAAGGATAGTGGCTCAAGTTTGTATTTTCTGAGGCTGCTCTTTTGCCCAGTCTTCTGAGGGTGCCACAGAGCTGGGCCCACGTAGGGGCTGTGCACACAGAGATCTGTGTCATGGCTTAGAAGTCTCCAGTTTAAGAAACAAGCTCTTTAAGAAGGCTCCTAGCAAACCTGCCCACATTTTGCCTAGAGGGAGACATTATTTTCCAAGGTGACAGATGTCATTTTACTTTTATTTTTAAAATAAAACCTGTTTCCCAAAAGGGAAAAATGATCCGTATCATCCAAGGTTACTCAAACACTCTTAAAGAGTCTGGAATAAGACTGTCAATGACTTCTGCTCCTAGGATGCAGAAATGTAAGCAATCAGTGGAGAATGGGTTCCCAGCCATGTCATTCCTTCCAGCCCAGCTCAGCCATCTGTCTCCGGAAGCCCTCTGGTTCCTCCAGGGGAATTGCCAACCGTTCATGCCCTCAGGGCCCATTGTTGTGCCTTCTATCATCACCCTGGTCACAGAGCCAAAAATATCCCCAAGGCACAGCAAATCCTCAAGTGTTCAGTGGCACTCAACACAGCCTCTGAGCAGACACTGTGCCTTGGCCCGCTGTGGCCCGGGATAGGCAGAGCACAAACTGGACTGTAGACCTGTCTTCTTAGCCTTGCGACCTTGGTGGTGAACAATCTGACTGTATGTGCCAGTGCTGCAGCTATTTACCTTTACAAAATGATGAGAGACTTCTCCTGCCTGCTTCTGCCCGGGAAGCTGCTGATTCCCTACAACAGGCACTTGAATTTTAAGAATCAAGAAACTGAGGCAGGAGGCTGCTATACAACTAGCTGAGGGCTTCTAGCTGGCCTGGAGCCCAGGTCTCCTGCTCCAAGGTCAGGCTTTTCCCACCATCCTGCTGAATAGGTTTCTAAACTTGAAGTCACAGGTTTTGAGTTCCCTCTTGACTCAGGGCTGTGTGGGTCGAACAGAGGCGGTTTCTGGAGATCCTTCCTCAGAAGCCAATGTTTCCCAGAAAACAGTGTCACAATGGGGACAAGGGAAGCCACTGTTGAGAGTCAGGACTTTCTCCCCTAAGTCCTATTCCATGTGAGCTTCGTGCGAAGGCTGGGCTTGCTTCCTGTCCTCACTGCTCACCCTCCCCACCCAGATGACCTGCCCAGCAGCAAGCGGCCACAGTCTTGAACTCTGGCCACTTGAGCATGCACATGATGACCATGTCACGCCAGGCTTTCAGTCTGTGAGTGTGTGCGCACGTGTGTGTGTGTGTGTGTGTGTGTGTGCGCGCGCGCGCATGCCTATGTGTCCCTCTCAGGGCATTCATCTACTGTGCCCTCCTCACTGGCAGGGCTCGTCCCCAGCACAGGCTTGGGACTAGGGTGACTTTCAGACATTCCATCCAGGCGTGGTGGGGCCACCATGGCGAGGCATCTTCAGGAGTTCTCATGATGGACAGGACTGTGCCCAGCCATAGCAGGTGGGCCACAGGCCACAGGGCAGCAGGGCCAGGGCACACCTGTCTCTGCAGAAGCCCCAGTGACCCATCCCAGCATGGCTGGCACAGCCCCAGCCTCAGGACCAGGAGAGGGGACAGAGTCAGCCCCCAAGGGGAAGGGGACAAATGTCAGAGAGGACACACACAGGCCTGTGGCCCTGTCACCCTTGAGCACACATGCATGGCTCTGTGCTTGCGGCCATGGAGAAGCCAGGACCCATGTTGATCCTGGGACCCTTGGTCATGACAGTCCTGCGATGCTCTCCTTACCCAACTGCCGCAGCAGGATCCCTGAGAACTGGGGTACCACGGGCAAGGCTTACCGGACTTTGGGTGTTTACAAACGAGATATGTGGCTGGGGATTTAGCTCAGTGGTTCTGGTGTCTGCCACGAAAGCACACAGTCCCGAGTTCGATCCCCAGTACCAAAAAAAAAAAAAAAAAGACACGTGGGAAGACTGTGTGGCACAAGAAATATAGCCCTGGATCTGGGCTCAGTCAACTCTCAGTTCAGACTTCCTTTCAGACTTAGGCGTCACCCATTAGGGACTAAACTGTGCCTACTCCCAGCTTGGACATTGAAGTCCTGACCCCCAGAATGCATGGCTGCACCAGGAGACAGGGCCGTTAAACAGGTGGTTAGGTTAAGTGAGGTCATTAGGGCCCTCACCCAACAGGCCTGGGCCTTGCAGGATGGGAGGGACCAAGGGCACTTACAGAGTGAAGCTGCACTTGCCAGCCAAGGACAGCTGGCTCTGGAGAAGCCGGCGCCCACTTCCCGCTCCAGAGCTGTGAAGGGATCACTGCTGCTGTGGGGCTTCATCACTGACAGCCCAGGCAGACCTCGCCCTCACGTCCGCCCCCCCGCCCCGCCCTCCCCTAGGGGCTGTTTTGCAGATTAAGCGAAACAATGGCAGGAAGTCAGCAGTTGGCAAGGCTGCCCCAGCACTCAGCTCGGCAGCGCCCTCTGCTGGCTGGACCAGGCCCCTTTGCCTGTCACCTCCCTGGGGCAGAGGCACCTGGAGGACAGAGCTCTGGACAGCCCCACCCTTCTGATGGGAGACCCTAGCAGTGGCCATGGATGGAGCTGGCACCAGAGTGCACGCAGTGTTCCTCCAGCGGCCCCTTGGCCCAGCCCACGGGCTCTGGCCCCTTTCTGAGAGCTGCACGAAACCCTTGGAACCCCAGTCCTACCCTCTCTGCCCTCCCCTGCTCTGCCCAGGCCCAGCATATGGCGAAGCCCAGCCGACCTCCAATGCTGCTTGACAAAGTCCCAGCGGGGGGAAAGAAAGGGTGGAACACAGCGTACCCTCATGTTTTATTTTTTTTTGCCATAATGTTTATAATTGTTACTCTGGTCACAGGAGTCATTGTGTTTGTGACTAACAACAAACTCTCCATGAGACAAATTGCCAATGATATATTGAAATCTGATCTGGCTCACAAGTCCCAAATTCCAGTTTCTTTTAGTTCTATTGCCACATCCACTTCTAAAAAAACCTCTCCTAAAACCCCCTCTGTTTCCCCCACTACTATGACTCCCCCTCTTATTGCTGACATTCTTTTAATAAAGGGGTCTTATGAAGAGATTGGAAGGACAGACTTTAGATGTAAAAAATAGTGGAAAATGGGAAATAGAAAGAACGTTAAGACAGGTAAATGCATTAAGGAGGCAAGTTACTCAATATTTCTCAAAGTGCTGTAAATATCTCCTGCTCATGGACTATGAACCCAAATGACATTTAGTTAAGATGAACAGAGGTATAGGAAAATAGAGAGCTAATAGCAAACTATATTAACCATTGTGCAGTTTCTCAAGGGCCAGCTGGTGACCACAAGTTTGACATTTAATTAATTAAATCTTGCTTGTACCCCCGCTGATATAAAGATTTTGATTAAGTTACTTTCTGTTCTGTTTAGGTGTGGGTAAATAAGGGGACAATTGTAATTTTTAAATATGTATTCGTGATGTTCAATGAAATGAAACAGTTTAGAGGAATTGTACTTTGTTTAACAAAAACTAACCTTTACTTCAATAGAAATTGCTAAGGCAATTTAAAATGTAAACATGTTCCGCCCAATGCCTCCCAGCTACTGCTTAAAGATATAAAAATAAATCAGACCCTGAGACTTCTCAGAGGGAACCTGAACATTGCTTGAGAAGGTTCTTTTCTCATCGCCGTCCCAGGACATCTCCCCTTCCTACCCTACATCGACAATGACTGCAGCTGGTCTGCGGCAAGCATACGCAGTGGGCCCCTTCCTGGCTCCAGGGGCAGTGCGGGGGCATGAAAGGGGACAGGGTGGCATGAGGCAGGCTGCCTGCTTTCCCAAGTCTGGTACCAACCCCCGGGGTGGGGCTGCACCTGCTGACTGGCTGAGTGAGCAGGGCAGTACACAAGGGTTTAATCACACTGGGGCTTCGTGCCTCCGTGTCCCCAGGTCCTGGAAGAGTGCTGACATTTAGTAGCATTCTTTAATTCTTTTTTTCTGGTATAAGGGATCAAACTCAGGACCTTGAGCTTTCAAGGTAGGCGCAGTGCCACTGAGCTAAATCCCAACAGCACTCTTTAATTTTTAATTAGTCAGTGTCAAGGGCACAGATGCGAACCATCCAGATCTGTCTGTCAAAAGTGAGATATCGCTCATGAGGGAGAGAAGCCCAGAGGCCGTGGGGACATAGATAAGGGCTTCCTGGCCTAACCTTGCCAGGCAGGAAGCCTTGAAGGCTTCCTCGGAGAGATGGGTTTTGAAGCATGCATAGGAGTTGACCAGGTGAAGATCACAGGGAATGGTATTCCTGGGAGAGTAGCAGAGGCAAAGATAAGAGGTGGTTCAGGGAATGATCCAGAGGCGGGAATGACAGGAAACGAGGACGATGGGGATGCAAAAGATGACCATGCTGAGGGGCAAACAGGGCCTGGGTCTGTCTGAATGCTGGGGGTGGCTGAGTGCCCTGCAGGCCCTGCACGGAAGAGGGTCTCAGGGTCGAGGAAGGTCTTCTGAACCACCCCAGGACAGGGTCAGACTGTGGTCAGGGCCACGCTAGTGAGTCCTTTCAGAGGAGAAAGCACCATTTTCAAAAGGGTTTTTATTAAACTGTCCCCACAGTGCCCCCTGCGACAACCGTGTGTCCACCCAGGACGGGCCCTGTCAGTTCTCCGCTGTGGCGGAGGTGGGCTCGTCACTGTGTCCGTGGAGCTGGCCTGGCAGGGCAGGGCTCGGGCCGTGGGGGAACTGGGCGCTGTTGGCTAAGGGCAGCTGTGGGCTGGGCTGGGGTGCTGCCTCCACACACACCCTGAGAGATGTTCCTGAGATGCTGGGCGGTGAAACACATCCCAGCTCCACCCTGAGGGGCACAGGGAGCAGCGGTGGCCAGGTGCCCCTTCCCCGCCAGTCTTGCGGAAAGTGGGCTCAGGCTCCTCCCTGCCAAGACTGAGGACGGGATGGGCGTGGAGGAAGAGGGTCTGGTCCCAGAGGACACGCTCGGGCAGGGGGCGGCTTGTTTGCTTCAGTGGGCTGCAGACTCTTCCCTCTTGGAGCCTCAGTTTCTCTTTCATGTTTTCACAATTATCCTGCCGTGTGGGGTAGGCACGCACGTGTGACATGTGGGCTTTGCACTGGGAATGTGTGCACACGTGCGTGTGGCCTGATTGGGGGTGTGTGTGACTGCATAACCCAGTGGGTGATGGGGGAGCCCAGCCCGGGCCCCCGTCCGGCTGTCTCGGGGTCTGGGGGTCACTGTCGTAGTCATCAGGCCGCGGACTGCCGCCTCACAAGAAGTTGGGCTCGCGCACCACCAGGCAGGGCGGGCCGCCGTCCGCGCCCTCGCCCAGGGGCCGGTACACGAAGTGGAAGTCGAGCTTGGGCTCGCTGCGCAGCAGGTAGCCCTTGATGCGGTGCGGTAGCGCGTCGTCGGCCAGCTGGAAGCAACGCCCGTCCACCAGCACGAAGAGCCGGTGCTCTTGCGGCCGCGCCACCTCGAACTTCTCGGCGCACTGCGAGCACAGCGCCTGCGCCGCCGTGTCCGCGCGCGACGCCAGCGTCCGCGCCTGCTGCTCGGGCTCCAGGTACGACACGCAGATGAAGTCCTGCGGGCGAAACGGGGCGCTTGTGGTCACGGACGCGCGCGGGGCCAGCCCGGCCCGGCAGGGAGTTGCTGGACCTCGGGGATCGCAGGGGCGCTGGTGAAGCCGGAACTCGGGACACCTGCGCTCTCGGACTCACATCTCCCTGCCCCCGGCCAGGACCCTTCCGGGTAATTCGGTCATTTTTGAGTCGGGCAATGAAGACTCAGAGCGCCCCCTGTGGCCAATACAGAAGCTGGCCCTCGCTCGCTTACTTCCGGACCTCAATGAGTCCTGCACGCTAGTGTAACGGGGCGGGGCGGGGGGTGCTGGGGTGGGGGTGGCAGTGTACTTAGAGACGGGGACCCCACTCGCTCCAACACCCCACAGTTCAGCCCCTTAGGCTGGAATTACCTGTAGGGTTCAGAGGCAGGGCGGGGAGTGGAGAGTTGGGGGTGGGGCAGTGAGAATAGGGGAGGGGAGCTGGGGTGAGGACGTCAAGTTTAGGACCAGGGAGAGGGGTATGAGCAAGGCGCGCACACACACACCACACACTCACGCACACGCGAGTACAGCACAATCACCACCTCCACCAGCCCTGGAAAGAGGACGCTGCGGCCCATGACCTTCCTGTCTTTGAGTCTGCGGCCACTGACTGCATGACCGTGAACTCTGCTTCTTCAACTGTAAACAGGATTACAGCGGTGCTGACGTCACCGCCCCCTCCCCCGGGCACCGAGAGCACGAGTGCGGAGCTGCCCCCTGTTGGACGGAGTGGTAACAGCAAGCAGACACCAAGAAGGTGATAGCGCCTACCAGGCAGTGGTGACCCTGATGGCTGCAGGGTGCTGAGAGCTTCAGGCTCCCTCCTGCCCGTTTCTTCCGGGAAGGAAGACCCAACCTCCCTGCTCTCTGTGTCTGGGTGGCTGCCTGGGCTCTCCTTGGCCCCCGCAGGCGTCCCTGCCCAGGAAGGGATTTACGGCGTGGGGTTCAGAGGCCGTGCGGGGAGGGCAGAGGGTGCCTCTCCGTCCAGCTCATCAACGCTCTGCCTGGATCAGCATTGGAAACCACGGGGCAGAGGCAAGAAAGAGGGGCTGCTGGACCAGCTCAGACCAGAGCGCCCACAGCCCAGAGCTGGTGGTGGTGGTGGGGGACGGGTGTGCTGGGAGGGGCCAGGGACAGTGGTGGGCTGAGGTGGCTCACGCCAGCCCCTCATGCCATTCTGGGAGAGCAGGCGGCACGTGTCTCCTTCCGGATCAGTTCCGTGATGGACGCTGAAATGGGTGTAAACACTCCCAGCGTGGAAAGTGACAGAAGCTCAAGTCAGAGCTTTTTTCCTCCCCACACAGGCAGTTTGAAGATGCTGCTGCTTAGAGGAGGGCAGGGACAATTAGCTTGGCAGCCGTGAACATCCGGTTCCCAGTTGGCCCACTCCGATATGGAAACCGAGTCCCAGAGAGAGGCAGGATTGCTCAGGGTCATGCAGCAAGCTAGAACAAAGCTGGGTCCGCAACCTGAGGCCCCTGCCTCCCAGGCCCGGGCTTTTTAAATAGAGGGTCCATCTTGAAAGCCAGAATTGGGGTTCAGGACTGGTGTGCTCTGGGAGCCAGGGTAGGGGCTGTCTGTCTGGCTCACTGGCCTAATTCTTTCTACTCTCCACACAGGGCAGTCCTGCTCTGCCCAGGCCCTGGGGCTGGGGCCCCTGAGACACGTGAGCCATGGAGAGTACAACATGGCGTGGTCCATAATGTAATGAGGAGGCAGAGGAGGGCACTACCCTCCTGTGGGGACGCGAGTGTGGCTGTCAGGAAGGCTTCTCGGGGCTGCTGGAGCAGAAGGGGAGAGAGACCAGCCTGGGTGGAGGCTGAGCAGCCAGGAGCTGAGCTCAGTGCTCCAGGAAGTGCAGGTGGCTGGATCTGGTGTGCCTGGGGCGTGCGGGAGGGAGGGGTGAGGAGGAGGAGGAGGAGGCGGCGGCGGCAGGAGTGTGGGGTGGCGGAGAGACGTGTGGGAGCCTCGCCGGGAGCCTCTGTCCTGGGACCGGGGCAACACCATAGATGAGCTGGGGTGGCCACATCTCCAGCCTGGCTGGGCACAGGGACGCCATAAGTGCTAAGGAGTGTTGGACAAACGTCTCAGTCCTGTAGCCAGCCTACCTACCCGACTAGACGCCTGATGTCTGGGGGTACCTTTCTAGAACCTCCTTTCCCAGCCGCCCCCAGCACACCTGCACCGAAGAGCGGGAGGCCCGGGCCTTGTTGAGCGTGCGCCTCCGCTCCCAGCGGTGGATGGAGTCCTGCACCTCCACGCTTAACTGCCGGGTCACGGTGATCTTGTCATAGTTCTTGATGTGCTCCAGGGCCCCATAGGTGGTGGTCAGATAGTAGGAACCTGCAGGGGGTCGAAGGGATGGGGCTGGGCCAGGATTGCCTTGGCCCACCCCTACAGGGAGGGGCTGGCCCAAGCGTGCCTGGCCCCGCCCACCCAGGAGCTCAAAGCCCCGCCCACCCCGTCAAACTCCACCCACCATCATGAGGGGGGTGTTTGTTGGGGGGACACCTGTCTGGCAGTCCCCTGCTTCAAAGGCTAGCCTCACCCCTTTGTCCTCTCCGAAGCTTAACAAGCCCCTAAAATCCAGCCCCGCCTGGAACTTCCCATTAGCTCTCCTTTGCCATGAAACAGTTGCTTATTTTTAAAATGATGTTTAAGAATGAGTTTTTAAATATTTTCAAATTTAAAGGAACCAGAGATGTGGATGCTTTCAGTGCTAAGGAGTGGCTGGGAGGCAGGGCGGGCCAGACTTCTCACTGAGTATCATACACAGTATAAGCTTTACATTTTTGAGCCATGGGAATGCATTATCTGTTCTAAAAACAATTTTTAAAAGATGTAGAGGAAATTTTAATTGATGACATTATGTTTTTAAAGAGTTAAATATGTAAAACTTTGAATTATTCAGCTTTCCATGTCTTTTTACCTTCCTAGTTAATTCATGCATATTCTTAATCACTAATGTTGCCTGAAGTCATTGAAGCTTCAAGATACTTTGAACTGCAAAATTCACCTGTGGTCTTAAGGTAAAAGATGGTATTTTGCATAGATGCTTCATTCATTGTCCTTAGCTTGTTAGGGGCTTTTATTAAAAAGTTTGAGAAGTCCTAACCCTGCTGACTCCCTCACTTTAAACAGAAGAGACCAAATTCTAAGAGGGAATGTGACTTGGCCAAGGCCACACAGTGATCAGGGTCCCGAGGAGAAGGAGGGCCTTGTGCTTTGCTCTCTCTGACCTCCAGCGCTGCCCACTTCCTTGGTGTTGCTTTCTTGGGTTTCTATACCCCTTGCCAGACCGTTCTCCCCTGCCTTTGAGGGCCAGGACAGCAATTTTTAACATGAGGCAAATCTGCCAGGGGCCTACTACCTCACTAAGTGAATGCCACTGTCACTTGGGGAAGTGATGCTGGGCTGAAAATATTCACTTCCAGACTCCCTGGGAGGACAGGGCAGGGGACCTTGTTCTGGTTCTGGATGTGAGTGGAAAACTCTGGGTGGGGCCTTTAGAAAGGGACAGACTAGGGATATGTCCTTTTGGCTCTGCCTGGCACCCTCCCTCTTGCCTGGAACACAGAGATGAGCCCAGAGGCACAGTAGCTGTCTTGTGATCAGAGGGGACAGGCACAAGGACAAAGGCCGGTATACGAGGGACAGAAGCAAAGAGCCAGGTCCGTGAGTCCCCGAAGGCATGACTGACTGCGAGCTGCTGCCTCATCTACTGCTTACCCTGGTCTTTTTTCTAATTTTTATTTTTTGGGTACTGGGGATCGAACTCGGGACCTTGTGCTTTCGAGGCAGGGGGCGGAACCACTGAGCTAAATCCCTGGCCCACTGGTCTTCTTGATGTAAGAGACAAACTGATCCCTAGCTCTGGTCCAAGCCATGATTAGTTACGCTGCACTTGCCTGCAATCCAAAGTGTTCCTGCTACAGTGTTTGAAGCTGGCTACTAGTCCCACAGACTCTACCTGGGAGTGACGCGCCCACCTGGGAGCTGGAGGCTGGGGCAACATAAAAGGTTTGGTGGCTGCCGGCTCACTCACCCTTTCACGGAAGTGCAGGATAGAGACATTTTTTGAAATAAGAATAGCAAGGCTAATGTGGAAATTGGCCTCATGTCTCTGAGCAGAGAAGAGTCACTAGGTCACTCCTGTGCCTGCCTTTCTACTTGAGCTCAAAGCTTGTGCTTGTGCACTGCTTGAGAACATTCCTTTCAGAGGCAGCCCCCAGCCTTTGCCCTGTGACCCCGGTGGGCCACTCAGCTACTCACCTCTCTATGCCTCAGTTTCCTCATCTGCCAATCCCACTATGGGAAAAGGGAATGGGTTGAAGCCAGGTAAGGTGCAGAGCACAGCAGTGTGAGGGTAATGAGTGGTTGTTACGTGCCTTCAAGGAGGTGTCCTGAAGGCTCCTCGCCCTCTTAGGTAAGGGGGAGGAGCTCCAGGCCTTGCCAGGGACTTCTTGCCAGTCGCCTCAAAGCAGGGTCCCTTTGCCTGAGGACATGCAGTCCCTGTTAGGACTGCTAGGTGGCGGGCAACACCACTGGGAGTTTTGGAGACTGGGTCTCTCTTCCTAGATGGGAAAAGCCCACTGCTCTTAGTAAGGTATCAGAGCCAGGCATGGCCACCTGTGAGCCAGTTTGGGGAGGGGACATGGGCAAAGTAGCCCGTGAGGGCACTGCAGAAGAGGGTGGAGTCTGGGCTGGCTCCAGCCAAGTGTCCAGCAGTTACCCAGGTCTGGTTGCCCTGAGATTTCCCAGAGTGGTGGGAGCAGGAGTGACCTAGGCCACATCAGCCCTCCCTACTGCTCCTGACATCTAACTCCCTATACAGCCCAGGCTGGCCTCCAGCTTGTGATCTTCCTGCCTCAGCCTCCTGAGTGCTGGGCTCACCTGGCTGCATGTGAAATTATCTCATTCATTTTAAAAAAAATCTGTTGAGGCCTGTTTCTTCTCAATGGAAGGAAACTCCATGATAAACTTCGCTGTTACCTGCCCTGAAGGAGCACAGAGCTGGTAAATGAGAGGAAGTGGCCTTCACCCAGCAACCTGTTCATTGATGAGAGGTGGATGAATAGTGCTTTTCTTCTTTTGCCTCACAAGTGCAAGGACCCCGAGTTCAATCCCCGGTACCAAAAAAAAAGAAGAGCCTTTTACATATTAAGGCTGTTGCTTTGGTGTACTGATTGGTAGGAACACTCTCTCTTGGATTACTGTTAGTATCTTCTCTTTATGGTCATTGTTGACAAGGAAACTTAACCTTTACAGGTTACAGGAAGGGCAACCTCAACACCACAGTGAGGATTCCTGTGAGGCACTGGGCAGGTTGCTGTCCCTCTTTGGGACAAATCCTAGGGAACAGGGTGCTCAAAGTTTCTGGAGAAAGGCTCACAGCCTCTGTGTGAGACAGGTCAGTGGGCTGGGAGGTCTCTGCCTACCTCCTCAGCCTCTGGGTGCTGCCATGTACATGCTCTGGGCTGGCAAAACCTAAGAGGAAGTCCAGGAGGCAAAGGCCCAAAGTGCAGGGTGCTGGGTGAGATGCTCACTCATTCTCACGAGGCTGTTGTTGGCCTTGCCTGCCTCACCTTGGGTCTGGCAGGGGTGGTGGGGGTGGGGGTAGATAGGTGGATGGTGGATGGACTGGTGAACAGATGGATGGATGAGAGGGTGGATGAATAATATATTAGTGGATGGGTGGATAGATGGATGGGTGAATGATTGGATGGATGACAGATAGTCAAATGGGTGGATTGGTGAGTGGATGAGTATGTGAATGGATAGGTGGATGAGTGGATGGGAGAATGGATGAATGGGTGGATGGACGAATAAATGGATGTTTGGGTGGATAAATGGGCTAAAGAAGTTTGGCTTCCCCTGAATTCCTAGACCTCCGAGAAGACAAGTTGTTACAACTTCAGGAAAAGTTTAAAGAGGAAAACACAGTAATTCCAGGGTTGTTGGAGCCACAAGCCAGTTACCTACGATGGCAAAGTTCATGGCTTTGACACTCCCCTGAGTTGTCAAGAACTCACAGAATCATCTACATCACTTTTACCCTGGATCCTGGCACATACTAAAAATACAAACACATGCAAAGAGGGTCATCTACTTTTAAGAGCCAAAAAGCCCAAAGGGGTCCCTTGGGGCCTAGGAGTCTCTCCATTCTTCAAGGCTGATGTCTCAGTGGGCTCCCTCAGAGCTCAAGTTGGGTCAGCAGTGCATCAGGGAGGAGTTCTGGTGGAGGGGTAGCTGGGGCTCAGTGGGTGGAGGAAGTGGTGGGAAGGAGGAGAGGGGAAGGGAAACTGAGGGTGGGTACGGCAACCCCCCCATCTTAGCGGGAGCCAGGGCCCCTTGAAACCAGTAACCTCCTTCCACCAATGGCCAGGGTTGGATGAGCAGGGGCTGAGTGTCCCCAGGGGCCCCCGTCTAAGAACTGATCGTCACTCTCACCACTTCATCTCTTATGCTGTTCCCCTTCTTTACCTGCAGGCTCCTGTTCATCCTTCATCGCTCAGCTGTGGTGCCACCTCCTCTGGGAAGCCCTCCGACTTCATGGTGCTGGCTGGGTAACACACCCCCTTCCCTTTGGGTTCCCCACCTTTCCAGCTCTGGTGGAGCAATGGTGACATCCTGTCTTACTGATGTGCCCAGGGTGCAGCCCAAGTCTGGACCCTGGAAGTGGCTGCTGAGCCATTCGGTTTGGGGGTGTGGGACAGCGGGGATGGAGACTCACCCTCCCCCAGCTGCAGGGCTGGGTCCATGAGCTCCATCATGTATTCCACATCCAGGAGCATCTCTGTCAGGTTGCTTCGGGCCAGCACATACATGAGCACGGGCAGGAAGTCATCGGCCCCATAGGGCTTCCCTGGGTGAAGGAGGAGGGAGGAGAGGCCAGTGAGCATCTTCCAGGCTCTCCCTGGGAGCCTGCCTCTGCCTAGCGAGGGGCTGCAGTCTGCCATGCTGGGTGGTCACCCTGGAAGAAGACCCTTCCCACTCCGCCAGGCTTCTTGGGATGCTGAAGGTGCGGGCTGGACTCAGCCCCCTGCCCACTCAGTTCTGGAAGAAGGAACTGAGAAAGCGGTCCCACGCCTGGCTGCACTTGGTCATCAAATTCACATCACACTGATTCACAGGCCTGCCTGGAGTCACTGTCTGCAGGCCAGCCCTGCCTTCTGGGCAGGTTCCCTGTGCCCTTAACCACATCTCCCTCCTCAGCTTTGAAATGGAGCTCTTCCTGATCGTGCATCAAGCCCGAGATCCTACCAGTGCACCCTTTCACCCCACGGGGTTTAGCTTTTCCGGGTTGGGTTCCCTAAAAAATGGCTGGAAGGAACAACTCGTGTCTCTGCCTGAGCCAGAGAGGCTCATGGGGCTCGGGGACCCTGACAGCAGCTGATGTGGCCACTGAGACAGGTAGAGGAGGGAGTAGGGCAGTGGCAGGCCCAAAGGTGCCTGAAGACCACCCGTGACTGCACAGAACCAAGGGCTAAACCTGGAGGGGACGAATTCCAACAGGGACAGCCTGGCCCAGAGCTCTCGTCAGCATCCTGGTCTGCCTCACGAGACCTGGGGACAGACAGCCCGCCCAAGCAGCCTGCACAATGGGACTGGGTTCCTAACCCCGCTTCTCACTCCTGCTAACACAGGGAGGCCAGGGCTCAGGCTGCACTGGGGGGGAGGCGGGCACCAGGTCTGTGTGTGACCTCACAGAGGTCGGAGGCACTGTGGTTGCAGCTCTGTGTGTCCTGGGTAGACTAACAGTCACCCCAACATATGCCAGCAATTCACGGTTCTTTCAAAAAGTTTATTCCTGACATGTTTTACAAAAGATTTAGTGGCCACTGGGAAATAGACCCAATAAAAGAGGAAAATCTAAATAAAAATGTAAACATCAGGGTGGGTGTGGTAGCACACACCTGTAATTCCAGAACTCTGGGAGGCAGAGGCAGGAGGATGGCAAATTTAAGCTCAGCTTGGACAACTTAGTGACTCAGTAAGATCCTGTTTCAAAATAAAAAATAAAAAAAGGGGAGCCGGGGATTTAGCTCAGTGGTTCTGTCACCTGCCTCACAAGCACAAGGTCCTGAGTTCAATTCCCAGTAACCCCCCCCCCAAATAAATAAAGGGCTGGGGATGTAGCTCAGTGTGAAGGCCCTGGGTTCAAAGCCCAGAAATGTTAAAAAAAAAAAAAAAAA